TTCTTTCTAAATTGAAACATATTTTAAAATGTTCTGTGAACTGTTCATTTATAGGAGCTTTAAAGGTTATTGTTTAGTTTTAAAAACTTTACAGACCGCTGTCCTCTATAATAATGGAGTCTTGCCTATCAGTTTATATTTTCAGGACATCAAGCAAATGGTAACACCTTTTCCTAGGTATTGGTGTGGATGTAGCACCATGCTCCAAATGCTTAGTAAATTCAAAATTTACTAAGACTCCTTTCCTAATCATATACTTTTTCATAAACAAAGTATATCCTCCCAGCTGCTGAGTTGTTTCATTTTAAGGCTGCATAAATTAAAAAGCTCACTTCTTTTTCTCTTGCAAACAGTAACCATTTAATCTTAAAATTATTTTCATTTACTTTGTTGCCCCATCACCTGGAAACAGAATGTCTCTATTACAGGACACACGTGTGACTCAATGCCCTGTTTCAGGTCCAGCCGATCTTGCTTATACAAAAGTTTAGAATGAAGAAGCTTAGACGCAAAGGAAAGACTCAGGAAAAACTCTATACTAGCTGCATGGAAGGTTTGGTGCAAGATACTTGCAAGGAGCAAGAACACAAGCCTCAATGGGGAGAGGCATTAAAGAACAACTATGCAGCAAGATCTAGGGAGGAAATAGAGTCCAAAAGAAATATCAATTCAGCTCAAAAAACAAAACAAAAAACCCCAAAACAAACGAACAACTGCACTGTGCCATATGGGCATGAGTTTAAAATTCACACATTCTCTCTTAATCTGAAGTGTCTGTTAAGTGCAGACAAACTTTTGGTGTTTGCTATGTACCTCGTCACACACTCTAAATCCCTAATTTTTCCGCTGCTTCCTATCCTGCTGCAGCTCTCAGGCTCTCAGCCCCACCCCAAAATGCACCACACACCTCACAGACACTTATTTAATCTCTCTCCAATGTAATCAGAATGCAACTGCAAGTCTCATCTCTCCTGTTGTCACTCAGCCCATGATCCTTTTTCTTCCATGTCAAATTTAAGATCTGATTCTGCCTTGAAAGCCTGCATATCTCAACCCATCCCTCTCTTTCTGTGCTTGTTTTATTCATCACTCACCTCTCTCCTACCCTTTGCTCAACTCAATCCACAAGCCCCCTTTATCTTCTCCTCCTATTCATGTCTGTAGTTTTTCTGCACAGCTTCCATGTCTGAACTCCCCTCTCTATTCTTGAAACACTCACAGACTAAAAATTCCTCCTTAATCTTCCTCTTTAATTGTTTGCAGGGGAGGGGGAAAAAGGGAATTTCTACAGAAACTTCCTAAGCTACATAGGACACCAGCCTAGGCATCCTCAGTTTCATTCCTGTAGTTCCTGTCCTTCCTATTCCTCCCTCCTGTTTGTTGCTATACATCATTTAGGGTTTATCTACGCAGCACAATGAAGTCTATTGAGAATAGGGAAGCAGATGACAGTAAGAAAACACGATTCACATCTCCTCTTCTCAGTGGTAAATAAGTACATGCAGCTTCTGGGCTCCACTCCTGGGCTCACTGGCTCGATGCACTTTCTAAATATGATTTGTTTATGATTTAAAATAATTTGCTGCCACTGAACTTCTGGAAAACAAAGCTTTGAGTAAGCAAATTCATGCACTATTCCATGGTTCATTAAGATAGCTTTCACTTTAAAATATGGTCTAGCTTAATTTAAGGAAAAGAAAGAAAGAAAGAAATCAATGAAACACATGGTTGCTTTAGCTATTTTATGCTGATTATTTTCCCTTCCCCCCATTTCAGTTTAATACCACTTCCACAATCATACTAGTGGGCCAGTTTGCCACAATAAGTTAGGAACAATTTATTTAGGCTATAAAGGGATATAGATACTTATTACATTTTAATTTTAATATTCAAATGATTCTAAATCCTTTTGGCATTCAGATGAAGCATTGTTTAAATTTGGTTTGTCATCAGAAGAATAAGTAACCTTAGGAGAATTTAGCAACTGGAAAGGGCATATAGCAAAACTTGTTTTATACTTTGTCAATTTGATGCTTTTGCTTGGATAACACACTTCTGCAAAGCATGCAACTCGCAGATAATGTGAGCATAAACATGCTTACCTATTGCTGCCAATACATACTTTACCCTCCAAAATGTTATGCTGCTTGCTAACTTTGCTGAAAACAAAAGAGGACACCCTCACTCCAGACATTTTCCATACATCTTTGGGACAAATTTCAGTAGTACTTATCCAGTTATCTGAGTCTCTAGCTTTTCCCCTTAAAGCCTATCAATATATAAAAACACAAACAAACTGCCACACTAAATATTTGGGAACAGCATTAACATTTGTTTTTAAGTTAATCCCAACTTAACATTGAAATGGTAATATTGCTTATGGTTGTAGTTATCTACTGTGGTTTTCCAGATTTTAAAACATACCTGAATCTGTGGAAAATTTTCTGGTTTGCTATACTACAATGCACCAAAAATTGGAGGACCCTGATGTAAAGCATAAACTCATTCACTTCAGGCAGTGATTCTCAACCAGGGTGCTACAGCACCCTAGAGTTCTGTGAGATCCTTCTAAAGATGCCACATAGTATTAGCACTGGTAGGTATGTAAGCACCTACACATGATTGACAGAATAAACTGAGAGACTGCAAGTAAGAATCCACTGTGTCAAAACTACTCTCACCTCCTGTGATCTTTGTGAGTTCTCTGAAACAGGATAATTGCTCTATTATTTTTCTGTAATCAAAATATAAGTGTAAACTAAGAGCTGGCATCTTCTGAGGGGTGTCTTGAATCTGAAGTTGAGAACCGCTAGCTTCAGGATTACCTAGGACCCGCATTATGGCCATTTCAAACGCTGTCTCTGGACATGACAAGTTGTGTCCTGCAGGATGATATGCCAAATACTTGGCAAAGGCACAAACACTTCTTTCAGCCATGCAGTGCAGAACAAAGAAAGAGAAAAATATAGTATTTAAAAGTCAGATGCACAAGGAAAAAAAATCTGTAGTATATTGCTCCTCCTCCTGAGCCCATGGAATACTTCTGAACTTTCTGCATGAAGGCCTTGTGGTCAGGACTCTGCAGGTTTTGGGATAGGTGCAACACACTGTGTTTTGGCAGCAATAGTAAGTATAGCTATACTGGCAAAAGAGTGCGTTTCATGATATATTATATATCAATTCCCAAAATAACATAAGATATGCTGACAAGAGGGTATTTCTGGCTGGCATAGCTGTGCTTACACTTGGGTTTTAGCCAGTAGAGCTATGCCAAGCTGGGGGCTGATGATTCTCCTTACATGGGCAGCACCTTTCATAACTTTGATGACTCTGTTCTCAGTATAATGGCTCAAGTGGATAAGGCAAGTGCTCTTTTCAGAAGTAACCCCCAGTCTAGAAATCTAATACAACCAGCACAAGTACCAAGCTACAAATCTTTAGTCGTGATGTATTAAGAACAGTGCTACCACTAGTCTACCCAGGGGAAGATAAATAGCTTTCACTGTAGATGCCGGAGATATCCAGAAGAAAGTGGTCAGACAGAGTAAAGCATATTGAGATCTTGGAGCAGTCACAACTGCCAAAAGGCATGCAAAGAGTGCAGGCAAGAAAGTGGATTTGCCTTGGCTACATTCTCAGTATGCTGATAACAGGGTTCCCAAACAAGCCCTGTGTTGGCAGTTCCAATGCAAATGGAAGAAAGCATGACCCACACAGACCCTTTTCAGCATAGTAAGGACTGAAGCCATCTATCAGTCTGTAAGGTGATCACGTGTGCAGATTAAGAGAACTAGCCCAAGGACTGAATTGCTGGCAATGACTAACCTCTGCCTTGTGTACCTGATGATATGGAAAATAGACTGAAATAAACAGAGCCATTATAGCTAAACTTAAATATATATAATACTTGTTCATCTAACCTGTATGTGACACCTTCCAAAACAGAGGAATGTCATAGCATGTACTTTTCCTAGTTTCTAACCTGTTTCAACTAAAGTTTGTGGTCCTATTAGAAGCTGAATTAACTATTTTTTAATTAAATTGAGTTCACATACTTTTTCGTGCTAATAAGACAATCCACAAATATTTGTTCCATGACAGATTAGAAAATAGCTGCCTTGGATCTTCAACTCCAATGCAGTTGAACATACTAATTAGAATTAAATTGTCTGCCCAACACTGCTCAGCATGACATTTTTCATGTCTGCTGTAAAGTATCCAAAACCATAAACATCATGAGTCTAAGTACTATGGTCAGAAATCTTATCAAAGACTCCAGTTCTATCCCTGTGTTAGATCTGGGGAATGAATGCAAAGGGCAATTCATCCTTACTTTGATTTCAGATCACTACGAGCAGCACTTAGCAACTTGGTAACATTGGTAAGTTGTTTTTTTTTAAATAACAAATCCTGAAAAGTTGAACCAAACAAATCTACTGAGCCACTACTAAAGAAATAAATACATGAAGAGGAAACACAAAAACAAAACCTACTACTTTTCATTAGTGGATCTAAAGGTACCTTACACTAAAAGAGATAAGTATCATTATGGGGAAATGGAGGCATAGGATGGCAATGAGATTTGTCCAAGTTTTCCTAACAGATTAGTAGCAGAACCTGGGAACAGAAATATGGTCTCTCATGTTCTAATCTATATCCACTAGGTTAGGCTGCCTCCACATGCTGGAGTTGAATTGTATCATTAGTGAAAAGCTTGTTAGTGATGCTCGGAGAGCCTGTGTGTCTGTTCAGGCTGCAAATTTCAGTATAAGTTTTTCTTTATACATAACACAGAGGAAGTACAAGACATGAAATCTCTTTATCCACACAGAGTTGAAAGTTAAAGCCTTTTCATTACAAGAAAGGAAACATGATTTTAGTGCACTTTTTATCTGACAGAATAGGCTTGCTGAACAGTGTTGAGTTTGAACATCTTCCTTTCATAGTATTCCCAACAGAGAGAGAAAAAAAAAACGATCAAGCTCATGAGTGTTTAATACCTTTATCAAGAGAAGCGCCAGCCATGTGGTAAAAGCTCAAAGCGGTGTCCACATCGTTTATATTCTTCAGAAAAGTAAAGAAATTTTCCACTTCTTCAAATGTCAGTCCCTAAAATAGAGAGAATATTTTGACATATGGTTAAAAGTGATAAATACATTTTGAGATAAGGGAAGGGAGCGAGGGGGGGAGATAGTAAAAGTGGGTAGAGCCTAATGTATAAGAAAATCAGGATTGCACATGGAAGAGTCAACGAAGAGATGCATTGAAAGACAATGTAATACCATGCTCCCCAGTGACAAGAATATGATCAGTGCACAACAAAGAGCCAGAGACTTGCTCGCTCTCTCTCACCCCCCCCCCGAACTAATCATCACACCACTGCTAATGCCAGTAGAACTGCATCAGTGCTCGAGTGTCCAAGAGAGTTTCAGAAACTCGCCTATCCAGACAACCTAAGCAAACCTATATCTGCTCAAATCAGAGTTCAGGTTTCTGTCTCACCACTTTACCCATGGTCTTTGAATGTGTTCCTGACTGTGAAGAATCATCATGCCAGGTTAAAAGGTTCCTCTCTATCTGATCTAGAGGGGCAAAATTCTAAAAATGGGGTAGTTATAAAAAAAATAATGCATTTTCAACTGTTATGAAGATAAAATGTCAAAACGAGTATGTTCAGCTGGTGTTTCCAAATAAAGTGTAATCTCTAGAGTAATAGTGCCCAAGATACCCTTGGTAACTTGATCCATGAAGGTGTTTTAGCAAGGCCAGAAGTAACTATGGGACTTATTTTGAAATTATAAATACATTTTGATAATTTTCTTATGAAGTCACAATTTCTTTAGAGGTGCAAGTAATTACAGGCCTACAAGCTTACCAAGGAGTTTTTTCATGATTTAGGTAAAAACAGAAGGCACTTACCAGTTCAGTCACTAGAATTCTTTGAGATTTATTGCATGTATTCACTTTAGGTCCCTAGGCCCAGAGATATTGCCAGAGGGATCCCTTTGGGTCATGTATGCACCCAAGGTATCTTTCTGCACTTAATGAGGATACACTGGGCTGTGCAAAACTAACTGACATTAATTTTTTCTCTAATATGGAGCCAACCATGACTGTGAAGCAGAGGGGAAGGGGATCTGATAATGGAAGGCACACTGCTCAACAGCTCAAAAGTATCCAGTATGCCTATACTAGTGCACAAAGCCTAGAGCAACTGTGACTAGACTCTCAGACTGGCACCCCGCATAGGTCCATAATGGAGCTGTTTCCAGGAGATGGTTGGGCTTTAACACAGTTAGTAACCGGAATATTAGAGGGGAATGCAACAGAGATGGGCACAATTTAAGGTCCACTGTGGGTATTTCTAAAATGCAAACTGCAAAAACAACAAACTAAGAAATGGTTTGAAAGATAATGTTCCATGTAAACACAAGACTATTTTAGTACCCTTATAACATCAGAGAAATGAAAATGTGTTTCCTTATTTCTGGAATAAGGTTTGGGGAAAAATACAGGTAACTAGATAACCTGGTTAATGTGAGACTCTGAAGTTACCATGGACAAAAATTTAGGGTGCAGCTGCAATAAAACCTTACCATAAAGGAAGGAGGTATGGAAGGGCTGTAACTTAGGTACAATACCCTTCTAGCAGAGACTAAAGAGAAACTCTCAATCATCTGCACAAAAATGTAATTTGATTAATTTATATGAAACAACTTGGTAATGTGGGGGCCGAGTATAGCTGGAATTGGGGCCGCACCGATGGAGTGGAATTAGGCACAAATGCGCACTGGTTGAATTGAAAAGAACTTTACTTACAAACTGACGTACAGGGACTTGCGTCGATGCACACAGTGTAGGTACGCTCCGTTACAGGTTACAAGCAAAAGAAAGAAACCGGGTGGCACACCGATGTTTTCCAAGCATGCAGGGTGCGGGGTACATCAGGACGGTCGGCGATGGGGACTGGTTGGTGGTTGATCAGGCCTCCAATTTTGCTCCAAGGTACACGAGGAACTCGTTCCCAACGTACACGTGGAGTTCTCCGGCTTGGGCGGAAACTACCCAAGCTTTTATACGGCTAGTGAGCCAATTGCTAGCCACCGGGTATGAATAATTTACGATGAGCCAATCGGTAGCATGCATCCAAACAGTGCAGCTGCTAGTTTTGGCGGGAGCTGATCACTGCACCAAGGCTTTTCCCGCCGTAGCGAGGCATCCCTTGCACCGAGCACTCGCATCGTGCTAAGAATTCTGCTGTGTCAAGGCACTTTTAATTACTAAGTACAGACATGCCCCCTTGCCGATGGCACAGCTGAAACTGGAGCACATGCGAGTCGGTCAAGTCGTCGCTTGCCCGAAGGGTTTATAAGGCAAACAGGTATGAACAAAGGTAGATAACGAAACAAGTTCCTTCTCTAAAGATCGTATTAAACAATAACCTAGCAGGACACAACTACACATTAACAAATTTGTCACAAAAAGTTCAATCACAAGGATTTCGGTGGGTGTCATGATGACGTCGCACGTCGAGCCCTTGCTTCTTGGAGTATTTTTCCCTCTTTCGTCCGGCTCCGGCACACGTCTCAGATCTCGGACTTGTTGGAGAAAGAAACTCTCTAGACAATTAACCAACTTATCTTACA